CCACTCTGCCAGCCCCAGATAGGCTTTTGTTGTGGTTAAAATGTAAAGGGAATGATCCTATCACCATAACAGCACTGTGTTCATGTTTCATGGTCCTTTCTAGTTGCAGGTAGGCGTTTCCATGAAGAGGTAGCTTTATTTAAGCAAATAAATTTTAATTTATTTGATTAAAAATTAAAATTAAAATTTAATTTTAAAATTAAATCATTTTAAAAAATATTTTTCAACAAATACAATATAATATAGTTTAAAAGGTACATGGTAAAAGTCTCTCACTTCTGTTCCCTAGCCAGCCAGATTTATCTTTATAATTAATGAGTTTATCAATTTTTTAAATATTCTTGTATGTATATATACAGTCATACACATGTGTGTATATGTATTTAATGACAATATCTTTTTTTTTTTACATAAATGATGGTAATGTTCCTTACCTTGAATTTTTCACTTAACATATATCTTGGCTATCTTTACATATGGCACACTAAAGAGTATTTTCATTCCTTTTTAAAAATGGCTGCTTATTAGTATTCCATTGTAGTGTTGTAATGATTTGACCAGTACCTTATTGATGGCTGTTTCTAATCTTTTGCTCTTATAAGGAGCTTTCCAATGAATGTCCTCCTACATAGATTATTTTTCATATGTATGAATATCTGTAAAATAAATCCCTAGAAATGAACTTGCTTAATAAAACCATATATGCATTGGTAATTTTGATCACTGAGTTGCTCTTCAAAACTGTTACCAGTTTACATTCCCACCAGCAATGTTTATCTGCCCATCTGCTCATATCCTCACCAAGGCAGAGCATTATCAATTTGTTTTACAGTATTTCCCCATGTATAAGACGCACCCTTTTCCGAAAACTTTGGGGTCTAAAAACTGGGTATGTTTTATACAGTGGTTGTAGATTTTTTTTTTTTACTTCATTTCCCTCTTTTTTCGCGCTTGTTTTTGCACTCATTCAACCACTGTATAAGACGCACCCAGTTTTTAGACCCCAAATTTTTCGGAAAAGGGTGCATCTTATACATGGGGAAATACGGTAATAGTTGCTAGTCTGATAGGTTAAAAAAAAGTACCTTTTGATCTGTATTTTGTTATGAGTGAAGTTGGAAACCTTTTCATGTGTCTAGGAGCCATTTGAACTTGCTTTCCTGTGTATTCGCTGTTCATTGTCTTTTGTCTATTTTAAAAATTAGGTTTGTCTTTTTTCTTATTGATTGATTGGAGTTCTTTATATAGTAGGGAAATTAATCTTTTGTTTACGAGTTATAAATACTTCAAATTTCAAAGGATCAGTATGATACAAATCAGTTCTCTAACCTTGGTGCAATTAATTTAGAAGTTAATAATAAAAAATATTTTAATGAGCATATATTTGGAAGTATAAAATTATACTTCTTGATACCTGGATCAAAAATATCAAAATACTTTAAATGATAATGAAAATACCACAGCTCAAATTGTGTGGGATATAGCAAAAATGGAACTTAGAAGGCAATTTATAGCCTAAATGCTTATAAAAAAGAAAATTAGTAAGACTGAAAATTAGTGAGCTAAGTAAAATAATAGAATAGATTTTAAGAAAGCAGAAGAAAGGAGATAATAAAGATCAAGGCAGAAATCAAATAAATAGGAAATGAAGATAGAGAGGATCAGTACAGGTGTACCTCGTTTTATTGCACTTCACTTTACTGCGCTTCACAGATGTTGCGTTTTTCCACAAATTGAAGTTAAGACCCTCTACCAGCAAAAGATTACGACTCGCTTTATTGTGCCTACTGGCTTTACTGTGGTGATCTATGACCGAGCCCACAGTACCTCCGAGGTATGCCTGAAAAGATAAAAGTTAGTTCTTTGTAAAGTCTAATAAAATGGAAAAATCTTTGGCAAAATACAAATAAATAATATTAGAAATAAGAAGTCCAAGTCTTGTAGAGATTAAAATAGTAAGACTGTGATAAACTTTATGCCAATAGTTTACATACGTAGACAGAAATGGACAAATTCTTTGGAAAACTATAACTTAATAAGGCTGACTTAAAAGAAATAAAAAGTAACAGACCGTTCCAAATATTACACAGACTCTTCCAGAGAAAAGGAAAAAAATGGGAACTCTCTAGTTGGTATAATTTTGATTCCAAAATCACCAAAAAATGGTATGAGAAAGGAAAATCAAAAGTCAATCTCATTTACGAACATAGATACAAAAATTCTAGATAAAATATTAACAAGCCATCAATATATAGAAAAGGAAATACATCTTGACTAAGAAGTTATCCCAGGAAGCAATCAGAAAATTTAAAGTGTCATTCATCCTATTTACTGAGTAAAGGAGAAAAACAATGAATATCTCAGTAGAAGCAGAAAAACATTTGTCATAGTTCAGTATCCATGTTAGACACTTAGAAAAATAGAAATAGAGGGGAACTTTCTTAACTTTATAAAGAATATCTAACAAAAACTCATAGGAGACATCACTTGTGATGGTGAAATGTTAAAAGCATTCCCCTTAAAATCTCTTTGATTTATCATTATATTGGAGATTCTAAACCAGCACAGAACACAAGAAAAAGAAATAAAATAATGTAAGGATGAGAAAAAAAAAGAAACCAAATTGTAATTAATTTGTAGCTACTATGATTGTCAACATGTAGAGTCTTCAATAGTTTGCTGGCAGATTATTACAAATAATAATAGCATTTAGCAAAGTGGCTGGATGAGGATCAATAAATAAAAGTTTGTTGCCTTTCTATATGCCAGTGTATTAGCCAGGTTTCTCCAGAGAAACAAAACCAACAGAATGTGTAAAATATACGTAAGAGGAGATTTGTTATAGGAATTGGCTCATGCCGTTATGGGGGTCATGAAGTTCCATGATCTGTCCTCTGTAAACTGAAGGAGGAAAGCCGATGGTGTAATTCAGTTGGGAAGAATGTGTGCTGATGGTGTAAGTTTTGACCTAAATCCAAAAGCCCAAGAACCAGGAGCGCTAATGTCCAGTGTCTGAGGAAAGGAGATGGATGGCTCAGCTCAAGCAGAGAGAGAAAATTTGCCCTTCCTCCACAATTTTGTTCTACTGGGTCCTCAAGAGATTGGATGGTGCCCACCCACATTGGGGAGGGCTATCACTATATGCAGTTTACCAATTTACATGCTAATCTTTTTCAGGAATACCCTCACAGACATACCCAGTTACCTGGGCATCCCTTAGCCTAGTCAGGCTGACACATTGCATTTAACCATTACTACAACAAACAAAGTATAATTTAAAAGTCACCTTTTTATATTAGCAACATTAAAAAGACCCAAATACGTAGAAAGATGTACCAGTTCATGGATACCAAAATTTGGTAATGTACCATTGACCTTTCGAAAATCTTTCTGTGGATTTATGCGATGTCAGTTAAAATTCTATCAGAATATTTTGAGGACCTTGACAGACTGATTCTAAAATTTAAATGAATAAGCAAAGGCCTGAGAATAGATAAGACACTCTAAAAGAAGAAAAAAAATGTAGGGGACATGCTTTACCAGATATTAGAACATGTACAAAAATTTATAGCCATTAAGACCATGTTGTATTGGTATAGGAACAAATAGACTCTTGGAACAAGACAGAGACCCCTAAAAGGACTTTTGTACTTAAGGACTTGACTAAGTGGCACTGCACATCACCAAGGGAAGGATATACATGGCAGGTTTGATGTGAGGTAATTGGTTATCAAGTAGAGAAAAAGAAGAAAGTAAATCTCTAACACATAATGTATACAAAGACAAAATCCCAGTGGATTAAAGACCTGCATAGAAAGGCAAAATGGCAACGTTTTTGAAGAAAATACGGGAGAATATATGGTCTGGGTAAAACTTTTTAATAAGACATTTTTAGTTTAATTTTTAAAAAGATTGATATAACTACACTGAAATTAAAGCGTCCTCATTATTAAAAGGTACCATTAAAATGAAAAGAAAAACAAACTGGGAGAAATACCAGTAACACATGTAAGTAACAAAAGAACAGTATCTGGTATAAACAAAGAACTCAGAACCATTACAAAAACGATAAATGATCCAATTGAAAAATGGACAAAAAAGGTATTTCACAGAGGAGGAAAAATATGAGTGACACATAAATGTGTGAAAAGATATTCAACCTCATCAGTACTCAGGGCAATGTAGGTTATGACCAGTGAAATAGCATTTAACACTTAAAAAATTGGCAAAATTCAGAAATCGGATAATACCAAGTGTTGGTTGGTTTGTCAAACGTAGAAAGTAGGACTGGAGAGAGAACAAGATGCTGGAGAAAATGTTATTTGTCATCAGTATTCCATTGTAGGCATGCTTAAAAAATAGTCCCAGAGAATACCTGGGACCAAAAGCAAAGAGTTGGTGCCACTTTAGTTTACAAACAAAAATGTTCATGTATATGGTACGAAGTAGGTTTATCAATTTTTACTCATGACAGGTTTTTTGCCCGGGCTTTTTATACTCAAATTTTCCACACCCTCCATGTCCCCCTTGCCCCTCGCCCGTCCCCCAGAATTGACTATTTTCATGAAGGAATATTATTTAGTTTTTTACTACTTTACACCTTTTTCATGTTAAAGTCTGAGATTTGGCCTTCCCATGTTCTATATTTACAGTGGTCAAAAGTGTATAGGACACGTATTAGATAGCTCTGAACAGATTATATATTGTACATTCCTTTCTGAAGGACAGAAAGTCTGTATAGCAAAGGTTAGGAGCCCACAGCTATGCACAGTTCTGCTTTTCATTGACAGTTTTACTTGGTGCGAGGTGAGAAGGGAACTACCAAGGAGGGAGTTGTCTTTGATCTAATCCTTACTCTCATGACCATATTGCTACTTGCACATGACATTGCGAACACCGTCATCTCAGCGTGTGAATGTGTTCTCCACGGTTCTGCATGTAAAACACTGTTTAGAAACTCATGTATAAGAGATGCTTCTAAGACTGCTACTTGCACATGACATTGAGACCATTTACACAATAGGATGAAATCATTTCGTATTGTAGAAACTAACGTACTCAATTTTTTTGTATGTGAATTGCTTTTTTCACAGATGGTGGACTCAAGCCAGTTATAGTTACGGCTCCAGCAAGTACAAAGGTGATAGAAGGAGACTTTGTGACTTTGTCCTGCAATGCCACTGGAGTACCAGTTCCCGTCATCCGTTGGTATGACAGGCGTGGATTGATAACCAGCCACCCGTCTCAAGTCCTTAGATCTAAATCCCGGAAATCACACTCACCAAGACCGGCCTTTGACCAGGAGCCTGTCTACTTGGTTGTGTCCCGAGCTGGATCTAGCTCGCTGTACATCCAGGCTGTCACTCAGGAGCATGCTGGGAAGTACACCTGCGAAGCCGCGAGTGAATACGGCACCACCAAGGCCGAGGCAGTCCTCACAGTGGGTGAGTTGCCATTTTTTTTTCCCCATGTGAATAGTTTTCTTCGATAATAGGAGCTAAAGTGCTTTGAAGTCTTATTTTAATGACTCCAGCAATCTCTAAAACTATCTTTTTTCCTTAATCACAGTGACATGTAGAACTATAGGTTTGGGTATTTGGCCTTAACACTAAGCTACTAAAATGTCATTGCGGAGACTTTTCAAGTGAGCCCTGGATAGGTACAGTATCCACAGTGTACAGGGTTAGCTTTTATTGAGGAAGTAGAGTCATCGTACTATCGAACAATACCTGTGAGTGCATTTTCCCATCTTATTCAAGTATTTTTCTAATGGGATGTATAATATTAATCCTGTACATTTTATTAATTTTGGTGATGATAAAAACTTTATATAATTTTTTAAGTACTGGCAATAGAATAGCAATATTATTAAAATTAATACAAATTTGACTTAATTCAAATTCAAACCTTACATCAATGGGCATTTAGAGCAGTATTCCCAGCAAGTAGTCAGATGAGTGGAGGTTGTCACCATATTTGTCATATGAGAGTCAGAGTGTCACAGAGCAGTGCTGCCCTTAGTTTTGGTAACTGAGGTCCCTGCCCTGGGCTTCTGCTTTGGAGGGCTTCACGTGGCCCTCTTCTTTGAGGGTCCTCAGGTCCCACCGGTCAGAGTCCATGGGATCCAGGGGCTGTGTTTACCTGGAGCCTGGAGCCCATGTTCCCCCTTCTGTACCATAGGTCTGGGGCTTCAGAAGTCCCTGCTTTTGTGCGTTTACAGTCTGGTTCCACACAGGACTTTTCCCTGGTCCATCCCGTAGAGTGTGGGCCACCCCACCAGTGTGCAGGTGCCCTTAAAGCAGAGCAGTGGGCCAAGTGGTGGTCTTTTGCAGAAGAGTAATGGTGAAGTACTGAGAGGGTTAATGTGCCCACTGGTCTTTCCATTGGCATGCACACAAAGATCCTAGCTCTGGATGAGGCTGGAGGTGGGAAGAGAAGATGGGAAGGCGAGGAACTGCCTTTATAGTCTTTTGCTACTCTATGAATGCCAGAGGTGGGGATGATATGGAGGTTAAACACGGAGGCTGTGTTAGAATCCTGGCTCTACCACTTAGGGGCTTTGTACCCTGGAGCAAGTTACTGAACTTGGTCTGTGCTTGTTTCCTCATCTGCGTAACAAGTATAGAGTATGTGGTGTGATAAAAAAAATACAGTGAATGTTTAAATAAAAAGAAATTATTACAGTAAAAGACACATTGCCATTAATCCCCCTGAAGATACTCCCCCTCACTTTGAGCACACTTATCCCAATGTCCTTGCCACTTTCTGAAGCAGTTCTGGAAGTCCTCTTTGATGAGTGTCTTTAGTTGCATTGTCGTGGCTACCTCGATGTCCTGAATTGATTCAAAACTGCAACTTTCTGTCAAATGAAAACATTACATTGTGTCCTTACCCACCTTATTCACCGGATCTGGCATGTGCAACTTCTGGCTCTTCCCCAAAGTCAAAATGGCCGTGAAAGGTAAATGTTTTGAATCGATACAGGACATCGAGGCAGCCATGACAGTGTAACTAAAAACACTCACAAAAGAGGACTTCCAGAACTGCTTCAGAAAGTGGCAAGAACGATGGGATAAATGTGTTCGAAGCGAGGGGGAGTATTTTGAGGGGGATTAATGGCAACATGTCTTTTACTGTAATAAATTTTTTATTTAAACGTTCACTGTATTGTTTGATTACACTTCGTAGGTGCCTTATTCATAGGGTTGATTTGAGAATTCAAGGAGTTAATACATGTAAAGTGCTTAGAATCGTATCTGGCAACAGAAACCCTTCAATAAATATTAAGTATTAGGTTATAATTATTACTATCTAATTATTATTAAATTATAATTATCCCATGTAGTGATGAAGGAAGGAAGAAATAGTTACTGATTTTAATAACCTTAAGAATCCTCAAGTAAACAAGGTAACCGAGTGATGTATAAATTTATAAATATATATGAATATGCATGTGTGTGTGTGTGTGTGTGTGTCTGCCAAGCAAAAGTAAGAGTGGCTCTACACAAAATTGTTGGCTGTAAGACAGGTGTAATGCAGGTGCCGCTAGGGCAGCATTTAGCTGAAGTGATTATTTTATGTAAATGTAGGGTAGAGGGAGCTGTGGAGGTTATGGTCATAACTGATGAAACGCCTCACTTTACAGATGATCTGAAGCCCTTAGAAAATACTTAAGCTACCTTGTTGACATCAGATCTTAGCTCTTTAAGATGCCCCTTTCAGGATTTTTTATGTCTTGAGAAATACTATTGTCATGCATAGTGACCCAATCCTACATCCTACCTAAGTGGTCCTGCGTTGCCTCTTTTACATGCTGTCTAATAATTATTAAGATCCAGTTGAGCTTATTAATGCTCAGAACAGTACATAGAAACCCACTTCTTTCTACAGGAATCTGAGCCTTATTAAATTCCAGCATACTGACAGCCACTTACTTTGTTTATTGTCAAGAGGGGAGTAGGCACAATCAGAAAGAGAGATGACTGACTCTCCTCCACCCTCTTTTTATTCCTTTCTAGAGACCTTGGGTTTTGAGGTCCGGGGTGTACAAATATTTGTAGAGTGAGTTGTAACTCTTCAAAACTATAATGGGGAGTTTGGCCTGGCTTTCCTAAATATTGTAGTTTGAGGCGGGGGTTGCTGGTATGTGGTCACAGTGGACAGATATGGTTATATTCCCTGTTTGATTAGTTTCAACTAAGAGTCATTAAATTCACTGCCATAGTTACAGGCAGTTTTTATCAATCTCTTTTGCAATTCAAAAAACATTCTACCTTAAAATGCTAGATATCTGTTCTGACCATTTCACAGAGCTGTTTTTAAGCTAAATTGAAATAATGTACATGAAAAAAACTTCTGAAAGTACTGTTAAGGTCTTATAAATTGTATCTAGTATCTTGTCAGTGCTCAGATGATATTATTGGGAATAGCAGAAGAAGATTACTTGAATCCCCTTTTTAAAAATAGTTATGGAAAAGTCTCACTGTGTCCCGAGTAGCAGAAGAATCTTGATACTCAATACCATAGACACAGGCTGTAGCATAAAATTTTTCTCACGCCTCTGTATAATAACTGAAGCGTGTGGCATTTAAACTCCTCTGTAGCCAAATACCGCTTCCCAGTGGTAAGCTGCCCAGAGGATCCAGGAAACTACTGATGATAAAGAAAGGGTCCTTTCCCACTAAACTAAGCCACAGCTAATTACCTCCACTTGCTAGAGTACATCTCCGCCTTAGCAGGCACCAGATCCACCCGTAACATCAGCCCACGTTCTGACTCACTAGATAAACATGGCTGTTCCAGGAGCAATATTTGGAAGTTGTCTCAGTGAACTTAGTTTTCTTCTATATTATTTTCTCACTAGCTTGTTTTCTTTGATTGAGGATGCTTCTGGGACACCTTTTCTCTCTGTTAAACAAACAGAGAACTGACCTTACACTGTCAGTCCTGTTTTTTCTTGGTTCGCTGCTAAACTGCAGTCTTCTCCTAAAAACACACCCACCTTTTACCAGAAATCTGACTTCATTGTGGAAAAGAAACTCTCACATTGTTTCCTGTGCTCCTTTCCTCTACAAAAGTAGTCAAAAAAAGAAACTTTTCTGTTGCCAGTACTAATAATACTTTCAAGAACCCAGGATGTCAATCCATAGGTTTTATGCTGGCAGTGTATTTGATTTTATATACTGCTCTCTCATTTTCCCACAGCAGCACCACTAACATTCTGCTGCCAGCTGTTGTCACCTAATCTCCCAGAACCCTAATTTCTTCATCTGTAAAGTGGGAGTGTTACTACCTAAGAATGTTGTTTCGAGAATTAAATGAGATTATGTTTAGTCAATGGCTAGCACAATGCTTGGCATATAATATGTGTGCAGTAATTTTTTTTATATATGCAACCTATTATTTCAACGCAAATAAATTATTTTTACCTTCCTCTGTGTATTCTGCATGTTTCTAATACTGTGTATTAAGGCTGTCTGCCGTTTTATCTCTTTTTTTTTAAGATTTTTATTGGGGAATTGGGGGAAGGGGAACAGACAAGTTGCTGTCGTTTTGTTCTTCAGTCTAGTTGTGGAGGACGTTGCTTCACTGGCCCAAGTTGGCACCGTCATTGCGCTCTTCCCGGGCGAGGCAGATCAGTCGCCGGCTTCTGGACAGCCACTCACTGCGGCTGCTGGCTGCTCACGCTGGCTGCTGGCCACACACGGTAGCCCATGGCAACCCACTGTAGCAGGGGCTGCAGCCTATGCCGTTGCCTGCAACTCTTGGCAGCCCAGCTCCAGGTTGAGCTGTTGTTCAGCATCTTAGCTGTAGAGGGCAGTGTCACTGGCCCTCATATGTGGGATCCGAACCGGGGCCCTCTGGCGTCCCAAGCCAGCTCTTAACCAACGCGCCACTCGGCCGGCCCTGTTTTATCTTTCTTTAGATTGGCAGTTTTTTTAAGCCTCCTCTAGTTCTGTCCAGATACAGGGCTTGTCTGGAAATAAATTCTTTCTTTACCTCTGCTAGTCTTGTTTCACGTCTTCCCTTTTCTTGAATATAGATTGTTTTTTATGTGTATGGCAGGTATTTTAGTTACCTGTTACTGTGTAACTTCCCCCCAAAGGTTAGTGGCCCAGAACAGCAGCCCGTTTATTATCTCTTACAACTCTGTGGGTTAACTAGATGCAACAGGGTGCTTTCCTGGCTTTCATTGGGGTCTCTTATGCCATTGTAATCAGATGGTACTGTGGCTGGACCATCCAAAGTGGCTTCACTCACATGTATGCCACCTTCATGAGGACCGGAACCACGCCCCACTTCTCTCTCTGTCTCTTCACGGGGCTGGCTGGGACATCTGTATGAAACAGCACAAAACTCCATGTGCCAGGCCTTCTGAAGGCTTATGGCTGGAAGAGCACAGCCTCACCTGTCCCTTCCAGTGGTTAAGCTAGTCACAGGGCCAGCCCACAGTCCATGAGGGAAGGGACTGCCCAAGGCTGTGAACACTGAGAGGCATCTTTGGAGACTAACTACCCAGTAGGTCATAGCCTAACTCCTTCCTATTTATGCCACCTTGTTCCCAAGGGAATGCATTGCTCCTTGTGTTTCATTTACCAACTAGAGTTAGAGCTCCATGTTCTCTAACTTAAAATCTTCTGAGGTTAAACTAGCAAATTATTGTTGCAAAAGAGGGAATGCTAGTGTAGAGCAAGGAAAAAATAACATCCTTTAAACCAGTCAACTACTGCATCATATTGATTTTTCAAAAAATTAATTTGATCCTTCATGAATAAGAGGTTTCTACTGGAGGTTAGATGTTTCCCTGAATTATAAAAATTGAAATGTTACCTGTTTCAACTTCTAAGGCTTAAAATGTGCTAACTGTCAGCATGGATGTTAGATCACTGTATAGAAGACACTGAAATAATGGATTTCTTCAAGCTGTCTCCTCTCTTTCTCTCTCTCCCTTTCTCTGAAGTTCCTTTTGAAACAAATACAAAAGCAGGAATAGTCACACCTTCCGAAGCCACGCAAAAGGATATAAGAGATGGTTCAGAAACTGAATTATTAAGCTCATTTCCAATGAAGGAATATTCCAGAGCAGTGGAAACACCATCAGAGAAAAATGCTAGCGGAGCCTCTGTCCCTGATGCCCCCATCATTCTGAGCCCTCCACAGACCCACACACCAGATACGTACAACCTGGTCTGGAGGGCAGGGAAGGACGGAGGCCTGCCCGTCAATGCCTATTTTGTGAAGTATCGAAAGGTAATGTCTTCTCATTTATTGTCCTTCCTCACACCTTAACACTGGGTGGGTAGCATACACTTATTATCTTCTCCTTTTGTGGAGTGGCAGGAAACAGAACAAGGTGTTCCAGGAGGGTGAGTTTGGGAGAGATACCCCAGCTGGATTTACCAGCTTATAAAAACAGTAAAAATGAAGTATAATATTGGGTCGTCGGGAACGTCATGACGCATTTTTGCATTGAAAAACATGGAAAAATACGTCATGACTTTCCCGACGACCCAATAATTCCCCCCAAATTGGGATTCCAAGAACCTAGTAACATCTCAACATTTTTTTATCAAACATTTTAACCCCTTGGGTATAAAGTTCTATAAATCACTTTTTAAAAAGTTACTCCTTCTCTCTCTAAGCGAGTAGTATGCTGTTTATATACCAAAGGAAGCAGTCTCTTTATCAGAAACAACCTTTTGAACAAAGTCCTCTGGAATAATCTCTGACAATTGTTTGCATTTCAGGTTTTCTTCTTAGTTGTATTAGAAGCTTACATTGTTTGATCATTTATTGTGGTAAAGCTTGGTCCCTCAGTTGATTTTTCAGATATTTTCCCTCTAGAGGCTTGCATTAAAGCAAAATGAAGAAAAGCTCCTCTCTTTGTTTAATGAGACTAGTGAATGAATGCAATGGGAAGAGATGCAGTCATATTTAAAATCATTTTCTCTGTTCAAGACATTTTGGTGTCTATCATTTAATAGTAATATCTGGAAAAATTAACATGAGATTTGAAAGCTTATTCACTGTTTTTAACCCGATGATTGTAGGTGAAGAAACTTTCACTAGAATTCTTTATCCACATGAAAACTTCCATGCAATGTTGTCTCTTGTTTTCATTAATGAAGGCAGAATGGAGTGGATCTCTTTTTAATTTATTTCATCCAACATATATTGAACAGTGTCAAGACATGAAGCAAGAATGCTGGAAATATATAATCCATAATTACATAATCCATATACGCACAAACATTCTAATTTATCATATATTTAATATGTATATTATGTATTATTAATATTGTCATATACTTATTTATTCTCCCATTAGCCCAGTAAGAAAGGAGTATTATTTCCATTACAAGTGAAGGGAACAAACTCTAGGAGATCAAATAAAATGCCAGAGGCCATAAGTTAGTGGTTAAGTAGCGGATCCAGGACTCTTCACAGGGAGAAACCGTACGTTTCTGCTACAGGTCTTACATTTCTTATTGTGTCCCTTTTATTTAAAATGGTACATCACTTCCCCAAATTCCCCTGGAGTTGAAGGACTTGTAGTGTTTATCGAATTTGAGTGGAAGCTTTTTCTACCCCTTTTCTCCTTCCCTTAATGGCCTGTTTTCTCTTGAGTAGCTGGACGATGGCGTTGGTGTGGTGGGAAGCTGGCACACGGTTCGCGTCCCAGGAAGTGAACATGAGCTCCACTTAACGGAACTAGAGCCATCCAGTCTCTATGAAGTTTTGATGGTCGCGAGAAATGGGGCAGGTGAAGGGCAGCCTGCCATGCTTACCTTCCGAACTAGCAAAGGTGAGTATGATCCTCCCGAGGAGGAAGGAGCTGGCTGTCTTGATTAGTAAGTCTCCTTTTGGGTAGCAGAGATTCTTAATTCTACAATATTCTACTAATTCTACTATAAATTCATTGAATAAGCCTATGGCAGTACCTTTTGGGACCACATGTGGATGGTTATAGTTTTCTGTTCCACCCAACAGTCCACAGATATTTTTGAGAGTTTATGATAGGTAAGGCCTTAGGGTAGGTGATGCAGGGAAAAAAAGATGGTCAAGACAGGGTGTGTCCAAATGGAGCTTCTGCTCTGCTGAGAAAGGTAAGATACACTCGTATACGTAATCCAGCTATAAGGCAAAACTTCATGTCAGCTGATATTTACTGAATGCCTTCTATATGCCGGCAATAAACAAAATCAACAAAACTCCTTGTCCTCGTGGAGCTTACATTCTAGTTGGGAGAGACTTATACCTAAGTTAGAAGTATATTAGAAGGTGTTGAGTGTTAACAAGATAAATCAGTTAGGGGATGGATATAGGAAGTGTATGGGGTAGCATTTCTCACAATTGACGCAAGTGGCCAGAGGAGTCCTCAGTAAGCAGTCGACAGCAGAGCAGAACATTAAGGAGGCGAAGTGGAAAGCCAGGCGGCTGTCTGGGAAAAGAACATCCCAGCAGAGAGAACAGCAAGTGCAAAGGCCCTAGGGTGGGCTGTGCTTATGTACCCTTGGAACACTGAGAGGGCCACTGTGATGGGAGCAAAAAAGTGAGAAGAATACTCAGGGAGAAAGGTGACAGAGTAGCCAAATCACACAGCGCCTTGTCGACATTGATTTTGACTCTTTTTTTTTTTTTTTTTTTAAACATTTTTATTGGGGAATTGGGGCACAGGAACAGCGCTGGGGAATTGGGGGAAGGGGAACAGACAAGTTTCTGTCCTTTTGTTCTTCAGTCTAGTTGTGGAGGACGTTGCTTCACTGGCCCAAGTTGGTACCATCATTGCGCTCTTCTGGGCGAGGCAGATCAGTCGCTGGCTTCTGGACGGCCGCTCACTGCGGCTGCTGGCTGCTCACGCTGGCCGCTCACTGCGGCTGCTGGCCGCTCACGCTGGCTGCTCACGCTGGCCGCTCACGCTGGCTGCTGGCTACACACGCTGGCTGCTGGCTACACACGGTAGCCCATGGCAACCCACTGCCACAGGGGCTGCAGCCTACGCCGTCGCCTGCGACTCACAGCAGCCCAGCTCCAAGTTGAGGGCAGCCCAGCTCCAGGTTGAGCTGTTGTTCAGCATCTTAGCTGTAGAGGGCAGTGTCACTGGCCCTCGTATGTGGGATCCGAACCGGGGCCCTCTGGTGTCCCAAGCCAGTTCTTAACCAACGCGCCACTCGGCCGGCCCTGATTTTGACTCTTGAGTGAACTAGAAGGATTGGAGGGATTTGAGCACAGCTGTGACACGATCTGCTGTATGTTTCAATGGACAGTTCTGGCTGTGGGGTGAGGAGGAGGGCAAGGGTGTAGGCAGAGACCAGAATATGACAAGTACTAGGAGAGACTTAACAGAGAAAATGACAGAAGTGTACAGAGAAAAGATAGTTTTTCTGTGGGTGGCTTGTGAGAGTAGGCTTGATGGAAAAGATGCCATCATAGCTTGGCTATAAATGAACAAGACTTCAGTGAGCAGAGATGCAGATTAGGTACAAGAGTGTTTTGTTATGGCATTAAAATAAAAGGAGATATGATGATTCAGAAGAAATTAGCAGTTGGTTTTTGAAAAAGACCCTTTCATCTAGTTAGTGAAACTGTTCAACAAAATAAAGAGTATCTCTTATTTGAAATGTATGTTGAGTTAATTTTCATAATTAGTCCTTAGTTGTTTATAGAATTTGACCTATAAATGCTGAATAATAAGCATGTATTTCAGTTTTAAAATAATTAACCCAATTTCACTTTTTGCCTCTTGAAATTTTAAAACTTAACTTCACAATTTTACAGGAAGAAACTTAACAAGTTCTTTAGTAATGAATTGTATGTTTTAGAATTAAAATGTACAGTAAAAAGAAAAAATGGATGAATAGTTTGAAAACCTTTAGTCATTTGACTTTTTCATGTGTATTGTTTTCTGTATGTAAATTAAAGTTAGCCTGATAAAGAAAGACACATTTTAGTTTTCCCTTTAAGGTACTAGAAAAAGACAAAGTAATTTTTAAAGTCAATTCCTCAGAGTAGCTAAGTATTTATTATATAGTGTAGGTCCTAAATTTAGACACTAGCAGATAAATTCATATATTTATATCTATGTGCCAGTTGAGTTCATAGTATCTTTACATATACACAGGAGTTTATGTTACAGCGGATGTTTTTTAACTTTTCTAGAGAAAACAACGTCCTTGAAAAACGCCCAGGCGTCCTCTCCACCTGTGGGCATTCCGAAGCGCCCTGTCGTTTCAGAGGCTGCAGACCACTTTGGAGTGGTGCTGACAGACTCCAGGCACAGTGGAGGTAAAGAGAAGAAGCTTCGTGTTATTCATTTTGTTTGTTTACAAATGGAACTGACCTGGTTCAGATTATTTTGGGGACGGAGTGGGATGGGGATTTGTTTATTATTCCGATTATAGCCTACCACGTCGCTCTTTTAGGTCCTATTTCAACCTTTTTTTTTTTTTTAATGTTTTTAATGTCCTGTAGTATTCAAATCTTGGTAACCCTGTATCATGATTAGTATTTAAGATAACATACTCAGATTCAAAATGTTCCACTGCTAAGTTTTATTTATTTATTTATTTATTTATTTATTTATTTAATTTTTTTTTTTCTTTTAGATTTTTATTGGGGAATTGGGGGGATGGGAACAGTGCTGGGGAATTGGGGGAAGGGGAACAGACAAGTTGCTGTCGTTTTTGTTCCTCAATCTAGT